TCCCCCCTCCCTCCACCACACCGCGCCCGCGACAGCTCCCACACCTGTCATTAGGTTTGCATAATTCAGTGACAGGTTGTCTGACATTAGCGGCTTTGATAGTTCACCTACAGGCTTGATAGTCAACGTTTTTATCCTAACAAATGGTTTTTAACTTAAAAATATGAAGATTCATGTGCACATAATATTATATGAATCCAATTATGTATGCCTCGTGACATACTTTATAACTATCCAAACACACCCTCTACACACTTTAAACAAAAATTTATGCAAATTTGTCCTTGTGTTGCTGTAACCGAGAGCTACTAGATTTACAAGCGTTCTATATAAACTCAGTAGTCCTAGTGAGGTAGGTGCACGCGATATTTATTCCTCCTCCATATTAAACGGATAAGAGGGATCTTAGCAAATGAAATACGTATATCAGCAATTGTCGCAGCACTAAAAGTATCGCAATCCCTCGCCGCTCGTTTGTCTCTGTCTGATCGGTTGCGGACTTAAGGCGGATTACTTTGCTCAATTGATGACGTACCGAGAAAGTTATTTATCCTCGCGCCTAACATTGCCTTTACTGATGTCCTTGGCTTTTTCTATAAAACACAATCAATAAAAGTCAAGTGAAATTCTAGCCTATCATCACTATGGGCTACTTAAGATGCTGAAACAATTTCAACGTCCGATAATATTTCGAAAAGAACAACAGAAATGTCCTAAACAACTTCATTTGCATGCGGGGCTCTCCATAAATCTCGTTTACCTAAGAGCGAGGCTCACGCGCGATACCGCACACAATTATACTCTTATTTCATCTATTATTTTAACCGACATACAGTTTATAATCCTTTGACGTGTTAGGAGAGCAAACTCGCACAAGTGGATTTCAAAAGACTATGTTAAACATGCAAGTCCCGTAGTAATGAACGTTTGAAAATAGATTTTATTGCCATGGGTTAGGTACGCTTTTAAATTTAAACGTGTTGTAGAAGCAGCATATGTATAGTTGTAAAAGTGTATGAGTGAAATAGTGAGTGTTGCGAGTGGAGTGCAGTGCAAATTTGCGGAGTCCTCGTGCGGCGGTGGCGGCGGAGCGCTCATTTCTCGCGCACCTCCTGCAAACGAGGTGCCTTTGTGATTTGTTTTATTGTTATTGTCCCTAGTTTTGTGTTATTTAGCTATTACCATTGTTCTATTTGTCGTTGCAACTCATAATTTAATGATAAGTATAATAGGACGCGGTAAATGGCCGGCGAGAGTCCCGTTGCGTTGCGGGAGTTTTGTGCAGATAAATTTAATGATACGCACTCACGTATGAATCACGACCGCGCTAAACATTTCCTTTACAATAGAAATCGCTTATTTGTTAAATTTATTCTGTGAAATTTGAATTATTTTAAAGCTAATACATATAACATATAATGAAGCACGCAATGTTTGAGAAAGCTGACAGTTTTGTTTTTGCGTTGACTCATTCTCATCCAGAGATCATAATCATAAATCACTCATTCCTTTTTTGGTGCTGACAATAGAATATTTCGAGCCATATCGAGAAACTCGACGGTATAATAACTAAAGCAATAAAGAAAAATTGCAGAGCACCATCGGCCAACACAAAAGACGTCCATAACTCACGCCCACGCGGCGCACTCTAATTAGTGGAGCACGTCGGCCCGAGCCGGGACATGCCGCGGATAAATAACAATCAGTCAGCGGCGGAGACACCGCGCGCACTCGCACCACACCTCACTCGCACTCGGCCCGCGCCTTTGTTTATTGTTATCTCACCAGTTACTTTGGTGGCTTGCTATTGTAAAAGTTCTACCGCTTCCAAACCTTTTTTACATGTGGTACACCTTGGACATCGCATCCAACACATATGTTAATTGCCGCATTTCAGCTCTTGGTATTGTAATTCAATTATACTGAGGTATCGCTATATAAATGAAATGTTGCGTTTAAACACTGAATAAAAAGCAGCAGTTTATTAGCGTAACCCTCAGAGCGCAGCATCACAAAGGCTTTGTTTGTGCCGGTGCGGCGCCGGGCGTTACTACATCATTTATCTGCGAACATCGCGGCTCAGCGGGATACGATACGACAAACGAGATCGAAATTCGTTAACGAACAAAAACAACAGCCGCCCGTGTAAATACACCGTGCGCCGATTGCTAACGCCACAGAGTAGCTAAGATACACAGACGACAGACCATTGGTAGCGTATAATACGCTGTTGGTTTTCTTCTTCAATAAATAAATAAATAAGTATACAACACAGAGTTTTATAATACAAGATGAAAAGATCTGTTTGTTTAATTAAGTAAGGACAAGCCATTCTTCTCAAAAAGTACTAACTCTAGAAACGTTTCTGAATTATGTATGAACCCAACTTTATTCACACAGGCACAGCTTCGTGTGATAGGAAAACTTTAAAATTCTACCTTTATTCTTCTATGTTCTACTAAGTATTTTCCTAAGAACCCGAACTTCGAGGTCAGACTGAGCACCATTATACTCGGTATAAATGATTTAACGTCTCTGTCGTGCATTAGTCTGTGTGCGGGGTGCGTTGGCATCGCAATTGCGACTGATCGCGGTCGAGGGCAGGGTAACGTGCAAGTAATTGCCTTGTGATCTGCGACCGCCCGCCGCCGCCGCCCGCCGCCGCCGCCACCGCCGCTTACCAACTGTACTCGGGCTGTATCGATATCCATACTGATGCTTTATTATCGTCCTGTTTCTATTACACAATCGACAATGTTTTTATTTTCAATATTTTAAAAATGCAAAATAAATTAAACTGGTAATTAAACAAACTTGTATCATACTAGAGTCAATAAAAAAGGGGGTTATCACGCAAGACTTTGGTTCGTTTCATACAACTTTCTTTTTCGATTCAATAAGCTTTAGTACCCACCCGGTCGAACAC